CGTCGTTAAAGACGGCACGCGATGAATGGTCGGGAAGCAACGTGTAGTCTGACATGTTTCTTGTCCACGACACGACAAGATTTTAGGAGTCAAAATCGTGAAATCTGACACAGTGACTATCGTTACCGACAAAAATATTGTGTAGTATGAACCCGGCATAAGAGACTTCATTAAAGACATTTAAAAATCATAATGTTTCCAAACATTTGACAGGTACTGTACTTTAACCTCAAGTGCATGTTCCAGGAAAGAAAGAAAGAAAGAAAGAAAGACAGTGAATTGCTGCCACCATTTGTTCCCCACATATCATGAAGTGTAAAATGCGATCCAGGGTTCAGAGTTTTGCAGTAAATGTCACTTTGTTGCGAAATTCTCAGATGATTGTTTGTGGCACAACTCTGCATTTCCCTCTGTTGCTAGGATGAAACACCCTCTGTGTTGGCATTTGTAGCATAAGATCTATTATTTTAGCATTTATTATAATTATACAAAACAACATGTATTTTAAAAGTGTGATAGTCACAGACTGACATTCAGATATAATGCAGAACAGTGTGAACAAAAGTAAACAATTAAATTTGTATAATATCACGGCTGGGTTGAACCGCAAACACATCTGCTCTTCCTGCTAGTTTACCGATTATAAACCTTGCACATATTAAACATGTTAATTTACAGTGTAGTTTCTGCGTTATTTTATGGGTTATTATTGTTTATGCGAAGGTTGTGACTTGCATGCTTCAGTTATTGATTTAAGTTTTTATTAAATGTTATGCAAAGCATTGCTTACTTGTTATCATGTTAAAGTATTATCTCAATAGATGTGTGCTAATTAGGAGGATTGTTTGGTCCAAATGTACTGATTAATACAAAATCAGCTTGATTTAATTATGAAAACCTTTTTTTTTTCCAGTATATTTTGAATGTTATGAACTGTAATGCAAAATGAACATTTTAGTAAATCTCATGGATTATTCCTTGGGCAACTCCTTGGACTAAATATCTGCTATTATATGTTTTCGTTCTCAGGAAGTAAAATATAGGACAAAAAAAAAAATAGTGAAGGAAGTAGGCAGAAGTTTCTCAAAATGAGGAAGTCTACAAATAGTTCCATTTACTTTACTGAAGTTTGTGTCTGTACAATAACAGCAACACGAAGGTGAAAAACTTTTGAGTACACCAGTATTCACTCAGTTTCAGTTTACTCTTAGCGCTGGTGTTCCTGAATTGGCTTCTTTTGAACTATCCACTGAGTTTTTGGTCATACCACATCCTGTTCAGTTCGACAGCAATTTGAACATGGTGTGTAGTCACTGTCCAAAGTGAGGGGAGTCGGACACTTTGTAAGGTAAGAATATGTCTGTTCATGTAGTGCATCAGATTTTGTGCTCAAGTATGATGTTAAACTGGATGAATTCTTCAGGCTGAGTGAATTAAGCGTGAATTAAACCAATTAAGTGAATGATGAAAAGAAAAAAAACAATTTTATTTTTATTTCATATGCAGTGTTGTATTAGAAACAGTAAAAGTATGCATCATATTAAATATTCTAATAGTAAATCTTAATATGTTGATATGGAATCATGAAAATAAAAGGCAAAAGTTCTAGTGAAACTATTGAAATTATTTGTATAATATCTCACTTTGTTGTGGCATTACCTGATCTGGCATTATTTAGTTACTTTGAAGTAAAAAAGCAAAAAGCAAAGCTGTTCAAGAATATCAGATGTTTCTCTGCCTTACTGTGGTGCGATATTTCTTTTAAAGAAGGCAATTATTAGTTTGTGATTATTGATTAAATAAAAATGTGTTTAATGTATGTTAATAATTCAACACTAATTCATTAATGATTTGCATATAAAAATCCTGAATATTTGCATTGATGTTTTTCACATTATATAAACTAAACTTTATATATAGTGAGCTCCAAATGTCTAAATTGTAGATCACTCTGGAGACTTTGGCGTTCAAAATATAATTAAGAAGGAAAAAACAGAAGGTTATAGGGTTTTGAAACTTTTACGAGAAAGGTGTTATGACAAACATAACAAATACTGCAAAATTATGAAATTCATGAAACATTTTACTTGCATTGTTACCATGTTCTAATATAATTTATAATGAAAGAACTGTATAATTGAGAAGTTTTCTCACTATTGCTCTTAGACTTTTCAGTATATATAAATTATTGTCCAGAGTTTGTTGATTATTATTAGTAGTAGTATCTTACACAAAGCCAAACTTACTTAAAAGATCATTAGAGCAACCTATTTATATCTTAATATAGGGCATGCTATTATTATTCCACCATTTTGGCTTAATAAAACACCTTAATAAAATACATTTTATAATAGCTCACAAAAATGTAAATTACATATTTAAAACTTGCACGTCTAACCAGTGGCACACGTCTCTGTAGCTAGACATGTTTTATTGAAGTCATTGTGCTGCTTCGCTGCATTTACTGATTTAACACAAAGCTACAACCACATTTTCCATTATAAACCTTGCATTTTGCTGTTAGCTTACAATAACACTGACCTTTTCTTGCTAAGCCAATCTGGCTTCTTCTTTATGGAATCTTTTGTGGTTGAATTTGATGAATCTTCTCAGACTTGCTACTCTTTCATGCATGAACACGAGGCCCTGAGGTTTTGTATTAGCGCTTGTGTTTGAGGTTGCTTTTTAGTGAGTAAAAAGGCTAGAGGATGTATTTTCTGTTTGCTTCATTTGGCATTTTGACAAATACTTCATGGACTTAATTTCTCATTATTGGTAATAATGGGAAAATTAATGTATATTTTTATAGAAAAAAAAATGAAGCAGAATGAAAAAAAAAATAACAAATTTGCAATTTGCAATGCTGATAAGAGTGTACTATATTTTTGTTTATGGTTTGTGGCACTAATATAGCCCCATTGCTGCATTAAGCAACACTGAAGCATGAAATGGCTCATTTCCATGTAAGGTGTTCAGTTGTGTGAATTGATTTGTGCGCTTGACGTGAGCGGATTCATCTGCTTGCTGTGTATCATCTTTAAGTGCCTTAAACATCTCATGGGAGTGGGCTTAAGTTGTAGTAGAGGCTGAATGTTATTGCAAAAGACTTGACCACTTCCTTTTTCTGTGTGAACTAGTTTCTCAGCGGCACATATCTTTTAACATCTTACCCAAGTTAGAGTTTGAAATATACATAGACATACACATACATGTGTTTGTGTAATTTACTTTGTAAGAACATATTTGCTAAAACAAAGTGTGGAAAGAAAATACAATTGGCGTTTCTCATTATCTTTAAAACCTCTTTGATCTAAAAGCTTAAATGCTCTGACTATATTTTGTATATACAATGTGACTACATGTAAAAACATTTTTTAAATGGATATGGATCTGAAGGTAAAACAGCCAAAAAGTGGCTTGTATACATACTGTAGAAATTCCTGAGTGTGCATGAGCTGTAATATAGGTGAGCAAAAATATAAGATAGGTTTGATCTGTTTAACTTTATTTCACTCTTCCATTTGTGTTATTTCATAGTTTACTATTGTAGACAACAAAGAATGAGTAATTACACAGTGAAACAAATCTTTATAAAAGTTTCTTTTATAACGCTTGACATGCTAAATACAAAAATCACATTACTTTGTTTACTTTGTAAGAACATATTTGCTAAAACAAAGTGTGGAAAGAAAATACAATTGGCGTTTCTCATTATCTTTAAAACCTCTTTGATCTAAAAGCTTAAATGCTCTGACTATATTTTGTATATACAATGTGACTACATGTAAAAACATTTTTTAAATGGATATGGATCTGAAGGTAAAACAGCCAAAAAGTGGCTTGTATACATACTGTAGAAATTCCTGAGTGTGCATGAGCTGTAATATAGGTGAGCAAAAATATAAGATAGGTTTGATCTGTTTAACTTTATTTCACTCTTCCATTTGTGTTATTTCATAGTTTACTATTGTAGACAACAAAGAATGAGTAATTACACAGTGAAACAAATCTTTATAAAAGTTTTGTTTTTAATATTTCTTTATAACGCTTGACATGCTAAATACAAAAATCACATTACTTTGTGTGTTTCATTAACAGTGCCCTTGAAAACTACAAAATATATGTTGACAGCTTATACAAACTAATCTGTTAATAAAAATGACATGGCGCATGCATAATACTAAGCTAAGAACTATAGTTTAACATTAACCAAAAGTGAGTCGTCCAAAACTTCAGAAGTGCATGCTGGATGATTTTTGTCTTTTATGGCTAGTCCCATAATGTTCTGGAATGTTCCAGAAAGCACTAGAATGTTACAGAATATTCCAGAATGTTAGAGCACTTAACTGGATGTTCTAGAATCCTTGCAACAACAACAAAAAAACATGTCAAACTAGTACACAAATGTAAACCGATGTTTCATAATTCATAATGACCTCAGTATTTACCAAAACATTGATGCTATGTGAAAATAATGAATAGTTCATTAAAATTCATTTAATGAACATATGCTTGGAGTAGATGAGAAGAAAAAATGAGAAGGAACAGACAGTCAAATTAAAATGAAACCGATAGCTAAAGATAAGACATGACATTAGAAACCAGTGAGAGGTGTGAGAGACAACATTCATCAAAAGAAGTAAAACACAAAAAAAGAAAGAAAATATATTGCATTTATAATGCTATCATGGCAAATTGATGTTGTTGTGCTCAACATTTATTCATAATGTACTGTAATGTACAGTCTTGAGTGCTTATTGCCTTTACACCATGGTCATTACATAACAAAATGATTAAAATAAAGCCCATTTAAACCTTTATTGATCACACTTAAGTTTAGGGACCAATTCTCACTATGACTTTTGCCTCAATAAACTCCTAACTTGCTGTTTATTAATAGTAAGGTAGTTGTTAAAATTAAGGGATCTAAAATAAGGGCATGCAAAATAAGACATTAATATGTGCTTTATAAGTACTAACAACCAGCCAATATGTTAGTAATATAGTTAAGAATGAGAATTGGTCCTTAAAATGAAGTGTTAACCATTTATTTGATCACTTATGACATCCTATATAGACCCTGTTGAGTAAGGTTATTATTTGGCATTCTTAGCCGAGTTTACAGGGTTTCAGTCTCTAGATTTTGTTTACAAATTGGTGTTTGCTCTGATTTTCACGAAAAATATGATCTAGAGTTTCTAAGAAATGATCTACACATTGGGCCTCATTTGTAAAGCGTTCGTACGCTCAGATTTGATCTTAGAGCGTGCGTACGCTAAACTCCACGCCTGCGCTCATATTTGACGTGGAAAGTGCTTCGCTTCACGTCAGGGTCTGAGCAGACGTAAACACTTATTCTATTGCAGGTTTTTGAAAATGTACGCTGTTCTTGCAGCTCTGAATTAAAGAATTTGGACGATGGCTGGTGATCTTTTACATGTTAGTGACTTTAATTAAGAGTCGTTTACAAGGCAGAGAGCTGAAACCATTCAGATTCAAGTTCAAGATCATTTGCGATTCAGAGATTTCACATCTGAAAGAGAGGCGTATGTGCGTACGTTCATTTTATGAGTCACATGCGCACATAAATGTGACCCTGGCACACAAAACCAGTCATAAGGGTCAGTTTTTGGAAATTGAGATTTATACATTATTTGAAAGCTGAATAAATTAGCTCTCCACTGATGTATGGTTTGTTAGGATCGGACAATATTTGGCTGAGATACAACTATATGAAAATCTGGAATCTGAGGGTGCAAAAAAATCGAAATATTGAGAAAATCATCTTTAAAGTTGTCCAAATGAAGTTCGTAGCAATGCATATTACTAATCAAAAATTAAGTTTTGATATATTTACAGTAGGAAATTTACAAAATATTAGTGCTGTCAAATGATTAATCGCGAATAATCGCATCCAAAATAAAAGTTGTTGTTTACATTATATATATGTATGTTTACCTTTTTTTATTTATTATGTATATATAAATACACACACATACAGTATTTATTTTGAAAATATTTACGTTTATACATTTATATACTCATATTCTTATATTTGATATTATATATAAATATATTTAATATATAAACATAACATAGTTTTCTTAAATATATACATGCATGTGTTTGTATTTATATATACATAATAAATATACACAGTACACACACACATATATTATGCGAACAAAAACTTTTATTTTGGATGCGATTAATCGCGATTAATCGTTTGACAGCACTACAAAATATCTTCATGGAACATGATCTTTGCTTAATATCCTAATGATTTTTGGCATACAAGAAAAATCGATAATTTTGCCCCATATTCAATGTATTGTTGGCTATTGCTACAAATATTATGACTGGTTTTGTGCCCCAGGGTCACATTTGAGAGATGATCGTAAGATCAAATTTAGGATGGTTTCTGCGCATTTTATAACTGAGGCCCATTGTCTTTTTCAGGTTATTAGCGGTCCTCTGAGCTTTGGCAGACGGTTGAGCAGATATGGCAGAGAGGGTGCAGGTGCTGCCGTACTTCTTCGGCAACATCACGCGAGAGGAGGCGGAGGAGTACCTGCGGCAGGGAGGAGCGGGGGACGGCCTGTACCTGCTGCGCCAGAGCCGCAGCTTCCTCGGCGGGTTCGCTCTGTCGGTGGCCTACGGTCGCCAGCTCTACCACTACACCATCGAGAGGGAGATGAACGACACCTACGCCATCGCCGGCGGAAAATCTCACGGAAACCCCATAGATGTGATCGACTACCACTCGCAGGAGTATGGTTTCTGCGCATTTTATAACTGAGGCCCATTGTCTTTTTCAGGTTATTAGCGGTCCTCTGAGCTTTGGCAGACGGTTGAGCAGATATGGCAGAGAGGGTGCAGGTGCTGCCGTACTTCTTCGGCAACATCACGCGAGAGGAGGCGGAGGAGTACCTGCGGCAGGGAGGAGCGGGGGACGGCCTGTACCTGCTGCGCCAGAGCCGCAGCTTCCTCGGCGGGTTCGCTCTGTCGGTGGCCTACGGTCGCCAGCTCTACCACTACACCATCGAGAGGGAGATGAACGACACCTACGCCATCGCCGGCGGAAAATCTCACGGAAACCCCATAGATGTGATCGACTACCACTCGCAGGAGTCCGACGGGCTCGTCTGCCTGCTGAAGAGGCCCTTCAACCGGCCCCAGGGCACCGAGCCTAAAGTCGGGCCCTTTGAGGACCTCAAGGAGCAGCTCATCCGGCAGTACGTCAAACAAACCTGGAACCTACAGGTGGGTGCCAGCTTAACACTTCATCTGGTAACACTTTATTTCAATAGTCTAGACTACACTCTTAAAAATAAAGGTGCTTAAAAGGTTCTTCACAGCGATGCCATAGAAGAACCATTTTTGGTTCCATAAAGAACCATTTAGTCAAGAACTGTCTCTTTCTTACCTTTTTATAATCTGAAGAACCTTCTTTCGCCACAACGAAACAGAAAGGTTCTTCAGATGTTAGTTAAAGGTTCTTTATGGAACCATTTAGACAGAAAGGTTCTTCTATGGCCTCGTGAAGCACCTTTATTTTTAAGAGTGTATAAGTAACTTTTTGAGTACATGTCAGCTTAGCCTACTAACCCTAACCATAACCCAGCAGTCTACTGTAATGACTGCTAGTTGACATGCATTGGCAAAGTTACTTATAGTCTAAAGTGGACTATCGAAATAAAGTGTAATCCTTTATTTAATTTCGGTAACACTTTATTTAAAGGCAACACGTTATATGGTTTCACTTTATTTTCATATTTTGTTGACTATAAGTAATATAGTACATATACCTACATATCTACTCTCATTAGAGTAGAAAATACATGTAGTTAATTAATATTACTCAGTACTTAAATGTATAATTACACTGTAACAAGGACAGCTTAAAACAAAGTGTAACCTTAATTTCTCAGAAGTTGCTCTTTCATAACTCAGAAAGCTTTTAGGGTTTGCAACACACTTGCATGGCGAGTCATACTGTACTCTATTTTGGTGAACTTGTATGAATTTGTACAATGTCTTTTGTATATTTTCATACAGTACAATCTGCTTGTGCTCCACCGATGGTTAGGTTCAGGCTGACCTTCATGCTTACTTTATTTCTGAATACTTTTTTTATGAATTGTACAAATTCGCCAAAACGTTAAATAGTTATGCTTTCTCATGAGTTTGGTATTGAGACTTCAGTTATGCTCAGAGACAATTGCTTAAATAGAGCATTGAGCTCATGTATTTACTATATGTTTCTTTGTCTTCTTGTGCATGAAACAACTTTCTTTTTTGGCTTACGTTTCAAATCATCCTTACTTTTCCAGCAAATCCCCTCCAATCACCTTGCTCATGGGTACACTGTAAAAATTGACTATTTACAGAGTATATTTTATGAGAAAATACTATTTCAGTCTGAAAATTTTACTGAAATTTAATGAAATTAGTGAACATTTTATATAAATAATACACATTTTTACATCTATTTTCACCCAGTTCCTAATAGATAAAGCCCCATCTTACTTTTTTCTTGTTGAATAGTCAGAAGTTATGTGAGATTACGAGAATAAAAGAAGTTGTGCATATTTCATGTTTCACTCGTCACAGCAACCTTCACACATTTTGTTTTTGTTGCAGTCAACTTTTGAACATTTGCAGCAATTGTGAATACATTTATGCCACCCCTGTGCTGCATTAAACAAATCATAAAAGCACATTTTTGGTATAAGACAGGAGCAGTTTATTAGCTATTTCTGATTTATTATTATATATTGTGGTGTGGCAGGGTTCGGCTCTGGAGCAGGCTATCATCAGCCAGAGGCCTCAGCTGGAGAAACTCATCGCCACAACGGCTCATGAGAAGATGCCGTGGTTCCATGGCAAGATCGACCGCGAGGACTCAGAGCAGCGGCTGCTCAGGAGCTCACACGTCAACGGCAAATTCCTGTGAGTCTCAAGCCCTTGTTGGACTTACTCTGCAAGTACAAGATAAATGAGACCTGATCTTGGGTGTTGAGAATTACACTAGTAAAAATAAAGGTGCTTCACGAGGCCATAGAAGAACCTTTCTGTCTAAATGGTTCCATAAAGAACCTTTAACTAACATCTGAAGAAGCTTTCTGTTTCGTTGTGGCAAAAGAAGGTTCTTCCGATTATAAAAATGTAAGAAAGAGACGGTTCTTGACTGAATGGTTCTTTGTGGAACCAAAAATGGTTCTTCTATGGCATCGCTGTGAAGAGCCTTCTAAGCACCTTTATTTTTTAAAGTGTGAACCCAGAATACATACCTTATTAGCTACAGTATATAATCTAGATTTATACTTCCATTCAAAAGTTTAGGGTCAGTAGGATTTGTATTTATTATTTTAAGAAATTACACTTTTATTCAGAAAGGAGGCATTCAGTTGATCAAAACTGACAGTAAAAACTTTTAGATTGTTACAAAAGACTTTGGTAGCACTTTATTCTAAGGTGTCTTGTTACACGCATCAAATCAGCATATTAGAGTGATTTCTGAAGGATCATGTGACTGCAGACTGGAGTAATGATGCTGAAAACTCAGCAGCTTAACAACTAATAAGCAGCTAATTAGGAGTTTATTGAGGCAAAAGTCATAGTTAATGGTTTGTTACTAATGAGAATTGGACCTTAAAATAAAGTGTGGCCAGTCTCTTCTGCTCACCAAGGCTGTGCTCAAAAATACAGCAAAAACAGTAATATTTATGATTTCTGAAGGACACTGAAGACTTCCAAACTTTTGAAAAGTACTGTACATGTAGAAAATCTGATAATTTGCAAAAAGTGATGCATTGTTATTTTAGGCTTATCGTATTTGCTGATATCCTAAAAGAGGATCTTGTAGAGTTAGACAGTTGTTTTGGTGACCAACAGGACAAACGCCACGTTATATTTAGATTTCCTGGTTGAGTGGCTGCACATGATGCACGGCATCAAAGGTTCAGCAAGGTGAATGCTACAGCTAGGCCATTAACTAGCCCTCAGAAACATCTCTCACTCACACGGTGATTAGGAGAGAAGTGCATGGTTCGAATGAGGTGAGTGTGCAATGAAAGTGTATGTTGATATAGAAATAGTTTGATTTCATGTACCGTGTAGCTTTTCAAAGGTGTGCTCATCTGGAGAATGTAAAGAAGTCATGCTTCTTTAAGTTATATAAACAAAGCCTCCTATATAACACTATCTGTTCATATATTGTGTGCTGTATATATATTCTTTTCAGCTGAAGCTTTACGTGACAGTACATTGATGAGAGTTTATCGACCGTTCGTGAAAAGCAAAGTATTCTATGAAACAGGCCTCAGCGTAAGAAGCGTAACCACAATACTGCGTGACGCTGAGATGATGTCCAGAATCGGGCTTTGATGTGCACTGTGTTGTGTGTTACAGCTGGTAGAACATTATTCGTACAAGCCTGACGGCCTGCTCCGAGTGCTCACCGAGACCTGCCCGAGACCGTCACAGAATACAGGCGTAAGTACAGTCACATCTCTAACAAACGCAGCAGTGACCATGTGTTCTCATATCAGCTTGCTTTAAAAAAAAAAGCCTTTAAAGGTGACATATCATGAAAATCTGACTTTCAGACGTTTTTTTGGCAGAGTATTAGAGGTACGAGCTGTAAAATCACAGCCCTATTCTGGAAAAGGGGGCGGGGAGCAGCAGCTCATTTGCATTTAAAGATACATGCACGAAAACAGTGTGCTTCTGCTTCTTCTCAAAATACGCATTTTCAAAATGATATAATAAATGTTCTGTGGGGTATTTTGAGCTGAAACTTCACAGTTACATTCTGGGGACCCCTGAGACTTATATTACATATTGTAAAAAGGGGCATAATATGTCACCTTTAAATTGCACTGACATGTCAGACTATATAAAACACTCACATTCAGGACTGTTGTGCTGTTTAAAATATCCACAGATAATTGTTAATTGTTTCACTGAATATATATATATATATATATATATATATTTAAAACACACGATTTTAATTTAACTTTTTAACAGTTCATTAAACTTGGTGTAAATTGAAAATAAAGTGGTTCTCAACTGGTGAGTCATGACACAAAAGTGCTGTCACAGACAATAGGGAAAGACAGTGCTAAATGCAATAATAAAATGCAACTAACTAAATAATTTACAGACATGGTGATGGAAACAATATGAGATGGGAGGAAAAATTCCTCCAAGAAAGAAAAGATTCTGGTGTTTAAATGCAAAACTTTGGGATTCCCTCAAGAAACTTTGCATTTTCTTGTAAGGAACAGGAAAAAATTGCATAATTAATTTCCCATTCGTTCATGAAAGTTTTGCATTCCTCCGAGGCAAAATTTCCCCAAAAAATGTTTGCATTCGTTCACAAAAATGATGCATTCCTCTGAGAAACATTGCATTTGCTCACAAGGAAAGTTTGTCCAAGAAACATTGCATTTGTTCTCAAGGAACACAAAAGTTTTGCAAACGGCTGCAAAGTTTCTTGGTGGAATGCAAAACTTTTGCAAGTAACCACAAACGCACTGAAATATAATTTTCTCTCTCATCTAATTTTTTTCCCATCACCATGTTCCGGACAGCAAACCAAAATAAAGCTTATTACATTTCCTCATCCTCAAAAAATGAAGTGAAAAAAGAAGAGGAAGACGCAGATTATGAATGATTGAGGACATCAGGGATAAACATGATATGTTCTGACCACAATTTGTTTGGCTGCCAAGAGCATGAAACCTCTGGAGTTAACGACATTAAGAAACCAAAAGCGTTCATATTCTTATT